CCTTTTTGGCTCTGCGTCTGTAGGAATCCCTGACAGGAGCAGAGGATGCAGAGAGTGTCTGCTGAAAATACACGTTGCTGGGCAAGAGTGCAGTGTCGGACTGGGTGGAGTGTTTTCTGTGAAAGGATGTGGACTGCAGGTGAAGCTCTCTGACTTTATAGCTGCATTATAAGATAGAGATGAGAGATTATTATGGTTATTAAAATTTCTTTCATATGAAATTTAAAAAACATTTCAGACCCACATTTCTAAAAAGAAAAAAATATTGGCAGTTATGGGTATGAATATGTGAGTAGAAAAATTTTTATTTGATTTAGCCCTCAACTAAATTAATGATTCTCCAAACCTTTATTTTCTCAGTTTTAAATATAACATAGTAGTCACAGTGTGACAACCGTTTTCAATAGTAGGTTAATGCCATCTTGCTAGATTTTGAAATAGGGATGATTAAATGCAGTCTAGATTCCTTTTAACCAACAACTTACACGTCAAATAAAAATTTTGCCGAATGGATATCTCAAACCAGATGAAAACGTCAGTTTCTTTTACCTGTTCTGTTGGATTGCCATATGTTCTTACTTTCAGATTTTTAAATAAGCGACGGAAACCCTGTTTGGGTCTGAGTCCCAGGTTTATTCCCTTCTTTAATTCAAACCCTTTTAAGATGCCACCCTGGGTGGTCACCCTATTGTCCCCTTTTAAAAACAGCTACTGTCTTTTAAACGTGTGATTTACTCAAAGTTAAAACATAAAGAAAATGGATTGTCAGTTCTTTCACATAAACAAGACTCAGTTTAACGATTTTTGTGTGTGTTTACATTTGGGTTCTCTCAATAAAATAAAACTTTTTTAAATCAAAATTTGATAAGAAGAAAACGAAAGATAAGCTGTAAAAAATATATAAAACTTTGTGTAGAATATAAACAATTTAGTAAGCTTTAACCATTAACTTTTTCTCATAGTAGTTAGTTAGTGTGGGGAATTCAGGCCTTTAAAATCAAATTTAGGCTTATTAAAATGTATTACAATAAAATTTCCTGTTTAATGCTGTTCCTACAGCTGGTTATAGTGACTGTTTCTGGTACGAGTTTGAATGTTTAGGCGCAATGTTTACCTGGCTGGCAGGCTGCAGGAGGAGCCATAGTTAACCTGGAGGAGGGGTTTCTGGAGAGAGGGATACAACCTCTCCTTGAAATTAAAATCTTTAATGGCTGACAAGAAAAGAAATAGAAGGGTGTATCATAGGTTACTAATAAATGAGAGAAGTGTACATGTACATAATGATATAACAATCCTTCATTAACATGTTTTGATCCTGTTAATAAACTTCTTATGTTGTTTTTTTTTTATATGTTTGTTTAGTCTTTTTTTTTTTATAACTTATAAATTACATAGAACAGACGGAAATTATTTAACCAAATTATTGATATAAAATCTAAACATGCTCACCTTGTGGCCTTTGATTCAAATGTTGCTCATTGAAGGTTCCCACAGTAGCTGCATCACAAGAGCATCATTGTAAGTTTAATCTTTTGGACAAAATAATGAAGCAAAAAGTAAGAAAAAGAAAGTGTCTCTGCAGTAAAATTGGCCTTGACTTCTGTTTGATAGTTTTGTGTACTGAAGTTTATCTTGAAGCTCATGCGTTACAAATACACTATTTAGGGGTGAATCTGGGAATTGCGTAATGATCTTAGAAGAGCTTCCTCTGACCCCGTCTGTGCTTATAAACAGTCATTATAAACATTAATATCCATCCATTTGCCGTCATGCTTATCCAAAGAGGGGTTGCGAGGGGTGCTGGTTCCTATCTCCAGCTGTCTAAGGGCTAGAGACGGGGTCCGTCCTGGAAAGGTCACCAGTTCATCGCAGGGCAACATAGAGACAAACAGGACAAACAACCATTCACGCACACACTCACACCTAAGGAGAATTTAGAGAAGCCAATTAAACAAACAGTCATGTTTTTGGACTTTGGGAGGAAGCCGGATTACCCGGAGAGAACCCACGCATGCTCAGGGAGAACATGCAAACTTCATGCAGAAAGACCCCGGGCTGGAAATCGAACCCGGAAGGCAGTAATGCTACCCACTTGTTTTTAAAGTAATCTTTCAGAAAAAAAAAAAAAAAAGAAATGTAGGATGCTGTTAGACTACTTACCTCTGGTTTTTCTTAATTCCTTGTCTGAGGAAATCGAGTCTTTCATCCTAAATAGACTGGATGTGAGGTCGCTCCTGCTTCTGCTGCATGACTTCCTTAAACTATGAGTAAGAGATTCAATCAGAGAAACAAACAGACCCTCTGTACAGGAGCTGCAGTAGACGTAATCATGTGAAGATTTAGGACTTACCTTTTTGAAGCTGATGTTTGGTCAGTTTGGATTTTAGACCTGTGCTCTAAATCCTCTTGTCTGTACTTTGAAATAAGACAGTCCATCCTCTGTGTGAGGTGGGGGAGCTGGACTAACCCCTGCTCTAGGTCCCTCTTTAACTTCGATACCTCTGTCTGCAAGGCCAGGATGGCCTCGCTGGAAACACACAGGAACAGAACAATTACATCTCTCTTTATGTCAGTGAATAGGATCAGCTCCATGCAAACTGACCTGTTACAAGAACAGGAGTTCAGTGGGCTGTGATTGTCCATAGCACCCATGGAGCTGCTGAGGGTTGGCTCTGATATGTAGTCCCAGGGAAGTGCAGGATGTGTTTGGTCAGCTTCTGGGGGAAGAGCAATGGAGAAATAAATTATGCAATACTGATAGGGAAAGATGATGTAAAAAATGAGAAGGGCTTTACTCACCCTGCAGCCTGACTGATGGCTCCTTGGTGGTGCACTCCACCCACAGCTCCACTGCAGCTGCTGCTTCACAGTACTTTGTTTGGATAGATGGGTGGGCAGCCTCACCGACCGCATGGATAGCTGTCTCCAGATTGGAGGAGGAAGCCTCACTATCTGAGTTACTTAGAGCTTCACAGTTGAAGCGAACGCTACAGATAAAAAGACAGTTTTGGAAAGTAAGTGTTCCTTGTCATGTGTGGAGAAAGGCTGCAGAACCATAAAAATCCTGAAATGGTTTTCTTGACCTTCCTGTGAGAGCATTTGATTGAAAAGCTTCAGTGGCCGACTGGTGCAGACAGGAGCTTCCAAACCCACTATCTGTCTCTGGACTCACAATCCTCTGTAACTCAAAAAACAAAACAATTAATGCACCATATACCTCATTCAGAAGTTTCTAACACTCATATCAGAATGGGTGGAATATTAAATTTGAGTTTGCAGGATAAATTAGAATTTCCTTTTATTCAAGGTTGAGATTGGACTATTTTTATCAGAGTTTCAAGTACTTTGATGTCATTGAACCTGTGATGGAATAATAACCTGCCCATGCATTCAACTTAACCTTAATTTGAATTACTCTGTACTGATCTGTAACGTTCTGCTCTCTCTGCTTTTTCTCATTGTAGCTTTGCCTCGTCTGTTCCTGTTTGGCTGTGACACCATCCTGGAGAGAAATATCAGCTGTGCTGCTTCCATCAACACCCTTGTTTATAGATGCTGGAGATCGGCCTGTTTTTCAGTGTAGTCCTGTTTCTCTGACTGTGACTGGCTGGATGTGCTCTCTTCATCCTCTGACATGGGAGCTGGCTTGGAGCTCGTCTGCCCGGCTGTGTGTTTCCTGGTCGGGGCCACCTTTTACAGATGCTTTTTGTATCTCTGCTTCTGTCTCCTTGAACCCCAGTCGGCCTCTGCAGATG